ACATACACACAAGTAAACATTATAAAATGGGATCCACACACACGAGAGAAACACGGGCTATTTGTCTCTCTGAGTCAAGGTCACCTCACTTAAATATAGTAGTTTCCAAGTCTATTCATTTTCCTGAAAATTCCATGATTTCATTTTTCTAGTAAAGAATAAAATCCCACTGGGTACACATACCACACTTTCACTATCCAGTCACATGCTGATGGCTGGTTCCAATCCCATGCTATTGTGAAAAGTGACAAAAAACTCCCAATCAACAAAGGAAACGAGAAAACAGGTTTCAAAGAAGGAAAAAAATCCAAATAGTATTTTAAACTGTTCAGCATCTGTATCCCACTGCAGAAGAAGGCACAAAAGGACTGTAAGAGTCAGAAGTCAGGGAGGACTGCGGCGAAACAGCGACATCTGGGCTGCTGTCCTCACCAACTCACAGCAGCCGTGGCTGCCCGCACAAGACCTGCACAAGACCGAGCCAGGCACAGTCTCCCATGAAATATAAAGGGTTCGTAAGATGCTACTGAGTCGATGGCTTCTGGGGGAGGCAGAGCGTATTCTCTTTAGGGTGTGGCCTCTGGCAGGCTGACCATGTCCCAGTGGATAGTCGCATACTAATGGGTATGTGGATAGCTATTGAACAAGAACAAAAATAAGGAGGACACAGAGTTGGGGGTGAATCTGGAAGGAGAGCGAAACAGCGACATCTGGGCTGCTGTCCTCACAAACTCACAGCAGCCGCGGCTGCCCACACAAGACCTGCACAAGACCGAGCCAGGCACATTCTCCCATGAAATATAAAGGGTTCATAAGATGCTACTGAGTCGATGGCTTTTGGGGAAGGCAGAGCGTATTTTCTTTAAGGGTGTGGCCTCTGGCAGGCTGACCATGTCCCAGTGGATAGTCACATACTAATGAGTATGTGGATAGCTATTTAACAAGAACAAAAATAAGGAGGACACAGAGTTGGGGGTGAATCTGGAAGGAGCCGGGGTGAATATGACCAAAATACACTGTGAAAACTCAATGAAGGGGCTGGAGAGATGGCTCAGCGGTTAAGAACACTGACTGTTCGTGCAGAGGACCAGGGTTTGAATCCAACACCCACAGGGCAGCTAACAACTGTCCGTAACTCCAGTTCCAGGGGATTCGACAGCCTCTTCTGTCATCTGCAGGCATTGCATGACACAGGTGCACTTACCTACATGCATACACATAAAATTAAAAAAAAAAACAAACCTCAATGAAGCCCAGCATGGTGGCACACGGCTTTAATCCCAGCACCAGGGAGGCAGAAGCAGGCAGAAATCCATGAGTTCAAGGCCAGCCCAATTTACATAGAGTTCCAGGCCAGCTGAGCTACAGTGAGACCCTGTCTCAAAAAGATCAATCAATCAATAAATAAATAAATAAATAAATAAATAAACAAACTCAATGAAGTGGTAAAAATATAAAACAGTATTCAACAACCTTAGCCATCGAGAAATGAAAACTACTTTGAGATTCCATCTCACTCCAGCAGAATGCTGGTGAGGATGTGGGGAAGGGGAAACCTTCTTCATTCGCTGCTGAGGGGTGTATGAAACAGTACAGTCATTAAGACAATCAGCAGGAAGGGTTTCTCCAAAAACTAGAAATAAATGTAGACTGGAGAGATGGCTCAGTGAGTAAAAAGGTGCTTGCCTCCAAGCCTAATGACCTGAGTTGGATCCCAGGCAAGGACAGAACTGATTTCTGTAAGTTGTCCTCTGGCATATGTGCAACACACACACACACACACACACACAAACACAAAATACATAAATAAATAAATAAATAAATAAATGTGATAATAATTTTTTAAACAGAAGCACCATATGACCCAGCTAGGCCCCTCCTGAGCATATGCCCAAAGGACCGCACATTTTACCAGAGATCCCACTCAACACTTACACAAGGCACCTTTAATCCTATCAGAACTCCTATGGGAAGAGATATGTGTCAGAGGAAAATAATGACTGTAGAATATTAATAACTTCAGTCTTGTTCACATATTGAGTAATAAACTACTTAGTTTATAGAAATAAAACTGAATTGGGGGAGACCCTCCCTTCCACTCTATCTCTCTAGGAAAAGCCCCTGGATGTTAGCGCCCTGACCCGGCTTTGCCACACTCTGACTGTGACTCTAAATGACATGTGTACCGTGTTCATCTGACACATGCCAACTTCTTCAAGGGATCACAGGAATGCTCTAAATCAAAAGGAGTAGAGAGGAAGCGAGCCCTGGAGGCCTGGAGAATACAAGACCCATTCCAGGCAATGGTAGCCAGCATCCTCCAGAAACAAGTGGCAGGAACACATTTTAAAAATATCTCCCTGGACATATATGGTCAGTGGAGCATCCTGTGGCACCACCAAATGAATTTCATTTCAGACCTCACACATGATACAAAAGGAAACTCTAAAGGCCTCACTGGTCTTTAGTGAAAAACTTAAAAGTATGAAACCTTTAGAAGAAAATACTTCCTTACGGTCATGCACCTCTTCCCTGGCTTTTACAATCTTTCTGCCCCATCTTCCACAATGATCCCTGAGCCCTGGGTGGGTGGGTTTTAATATAGGAGTCCTGTCAAGGACCCACACACTGCAGAGGCTTATTCTCTGCATTTTGGCCATTTGGGGCCTTTTGTGATCCTGGCCCTCTGTTGTATGAGGGCTCTTCATTGATGAGAACTGAAAGATGCATTAGTGTCCTCTTTAGCCCTGTTCTATGTTCCATGAGCCTTTGGTGTAGAGGTTGCATCCTAGATGTGCCACCTAGGCTTGGGCAATTCACAGAAAATCTCTGTGTGTGGCCAGTTGTGGAACTCTGTAACTATCTCTGTCTCTGGAAAAAGAAGCTTTTTGATGTGTGATGACTGGGATACTTTATAGACTTAAGGATCCATATTACATTTGTCTAGGGATGTGACAGCCTTGGGGTTTTCTCTAATATATATGACCTCTCCAGCTATGTGTATTTGTCTAGGTTTACAGTACCACAGCTGAGTTTCCTCCCATTGAGTGGCCTTTAAGTCTGATTAGGTAGCTGTTGATTACCCCCAGGTTAAAAGTGCCACTACTGCACCAGTGTCGTTTGCTGTGCTGGTCATTGATGCTGTTTTTAGGCCTTGAAGCTGGGGTCAGACCATCAATTGATAGTTCTCCCTTAGCAGCTTGCGTAGTGCTCTCCAAAGATATGAGAGCTAGCCTTCACAGGAGGTGGCTTCCAGCTCAGCTGC